TGTCAGTCGGTGGGGATGTGGCTGTCATCCTGTTATCCACTGGGATCTCACCACGTCCATCCTGCCATTTCATTCCTAAAAGCTGGATCTCCTCTGCAGGTCCCTTTACTCTGTTCCATGGAAAACCCCACTTTTAGTGGGATTTGGATTGTTTTTTCCAGTTTCTCAAACCCTTCAGCTCTGCTGCCCCACTCGATGATGTCACCGATGTCCCACAGGGATTCCGGAGCCTCCCCCTGTCCCAGCACAGTCTGGATCAATCCATGGGGGAGAGATGGGCCCTTCCCAGCCCTGGGATGGTTCCAGGGTCAGGGGATCAGAGCCAGGGCTCCACAGGCCTGGGCCAGTGGAATTCCAGCATCCTGGGGCACCGGCTGCTTTGGGAATTGTGTTTCCCTTGGGAAAGCTGCTGTGGGGGCAGAGGCACCATGTGACCCCTGAGGATGTGGAAAAATGGGAGGAAATGTCCTTTCTGGACCTCAATCCCATCACTTGCAGCAGCCTGAGGTCCTCTGGGTGCCAAAGGTTCTGCAGATCCTGGGATGAGCCACATCCACACCCCCCATCCCTCCAGAGCTCAGTTCCAGGCATGGAAAACTAAGGAGCTTTAGTCCCAAAACTCTGCATCCTCAAGGGTGCTGGAGGAGGATGACGGACACCTCAGCATCCCAACCCCCCTCCGTGCTCCCAGCTCTGCTCTAATTCCGGGAATTTAATTGGAAAAATGTCTCCCAGCCTCGTGATTTCACCTGAAAGGTAAAACTCAAAGAGGGGAAGTCGGGATTTTTCCTGGTTATTTGAGTCCTGGAGCACAAAGGACCCGTGGCCCAGCACCCCCCTCCCTGTGTCCCGTCCTTCCCACCCGGATTCCGGAGGATGCTCCACGTGTGCTCCCGGCACGTTGAACTGGGACATCCCAAAAAAGCCACCGGGGCCGTGGCGCCGTCACAGCCGGGGGTGGCAGGGAGGTGACAGGGTGACATTCCCAGCGCTGGGCTGGGAACGCTGGGAACGGCCTCAAGTGGCACAAGGGGGTGGGGTCGTAGGTGGGATTTTGGGAATATTTTGGGAATATTCCTCCTGAAAAGGGTTGTCCGGCCCCGGGAGGCTCAACAGCCACGGGGATGTGGCACCTGGGGACACGGGCAGTGGTGGCACTTGGGGACACGGGGCAGTGGTGGCCCCGGGGCCAGGCAGACTCGGGGGGTCTCCTGCGGTTTTCCCACCTCAGCAATTCCCTGATTCCGTGGTGTCCCAGTTTCCCCAGTGCATTCCCATCCTCCTTCCCGGCTCTGTGGGCAGATGGAGTGGGGGGGGGGTGTGTCTGTCCCCATTCCTGTGGGAATGTCACCATCTGTCCTGCTGCTCCGTGACATCCAGCCTGGGGGGACATTCCCAGTGCTCCCAGTGTAGAGCAGCCTCCGGTTTACTGGGAGTGGAGGGAAATTCCCAGGCTGGGAATGACTGCGGGGCTGGTCCGTGTGAACTGGGCTGTACTGGGAGTGGCTCTGGGGCTGCCCTGTATGGACTGGGCTGTACTGGGGCTGGTCTGTGTGAACTGGACCATACTGGGCTGTACTGGGGCTGGTCTGTGTAAATTGGGCCATACTGGGCTGTACTGGGGCTGCCCCATATGTTCTGGGCTGTACTGGGGGTGGCTGTGGGGCTGCAGGTGCCCCCCCTGGTCCGTGGGTGCCCCCCCAGGTCCGTGGGTGCCCCCAAACCACCCCCTGAGCCTCATTTGCATTTTTTGCTCGTTTCTACATTAACCCCCCAATTTGGGGGTTTATTTATTTGGGGGGGGGGCACTGGGGGCACACGTGGTGGCTCCCACTGTCACAGGACCCCCCAGGACTGGGAGGCTCCAGCCTTGTCCCAGTGGGTCCGGAGGGAGCGGGAATGAACACAAGGGGAATAAGTAGAAGAACAACCGGAATAACCTAAATAGAATTTAATAAAATAGAAAAATAGAAAAGAATAAATAAACCACAATAATCAGAATAAACAGACTTAAAGAGACTCCCGGCTTTAAACACAGACCCGGGGCAGGGCACTGGTGGGACTGGGAGGACTGGGAAGTGCCCTGGAGGGACATTCCAAGGTCTGGAGGCACTTCAATGCCCAAAGGGAACATGGACACACATCCCAGGGGGGTTTTCCAAGGCCTGAAGATACTTCAGAATCCAAAGGGAACATGCAGACACACCCCAGAAGGATTTCCCAAGATCTAAAGAAACTTCAAGATCCAAAGGGAACAGGGAGACACATCCCAGAGGGATTTTCCGAAGTCTTGAAGAAGTGGAAAGCGCCCTGGAAAGACATTTCAGAGTCCAAAGGTGCTTCAAGGCCTGAAGGGAACATGGAGACACATCCCAGAGGGATTTTCCAAAGTCTGAAGATACTTCAGAATCCAAAGGGAACATGGAGACACATCCCAGAGGGATTTCCCAAAGTCTGAAGATACATCAAGGTCCAGATATATCTTGATATATCTTGATAAATATATCTTGATAAATCCCTCTGGGATGTGTCTCTGTGTCCAAAGAGACACGGAGACACATCCCAGAGGGATTTCTGAGGTCCAAAGGGACACGGAGAAGCCCCTCAGGCGGTTCCAGGGGTCCCCAGGTGCTCACAGTTCCGGGGTGTCCGGGATGGGCCGCGGCACTGGCATCACATTCATGGGAGCACTGGGACAATCCCATCCTGGGGCTACTGCTGGTCACCCCCCGGGTCACTCCCGGCCCTGAGGGGGGTCCCACCCCTGAGGGGGTTCCCATCCCCGAGGGGGTCCCTGTCCCCAAGGGGGTCCCGATCCCCGAGGGTATCCTTGTCTCTGAGGAGATGCCCGTTCCCAAGGGGGTCCCTGTCCCCACAGGCATCACCATCCCCAAGGGGGTCCTTGTCCCCATGGTGATCCCTGTCCCCACGGGTGACCTGGTCCCCAAGGGGGTCCCTGTCCCTGCGGGTGTCCCCATCCCCATGGGGGTCCCTGTTCCCATCCCCATGGGGCTCCCTCTCCTTGTGGGGGTCCCTCTCCCCTGTTCCATCCCTGGGGAGGTCCTTGTTCCCATCCCCGTGGGGGTCCCTTTTCTCATCCCTGTGGGGGTCCCTCTCCCCCTGGGAGTCCCTGTTCTCCTCCCTGGAGGGGTCCATGTTCCCATCCCCACGAGGGTCTCCGTTCCCATTCCCACGGGGGTCCCTCTCTCCCTGGGGGTCCATGTTGCCATCCCCAGGGGGGTCCCTCTTCTCCTCCCCGGAGGGGTCTCCGTTCCCATCCCCGTGTTGGTCCTTCTCCCCAGAGGGGTCCCTCTTCTCCTCCCCGGGGTGGTCTCTGTTCTCCTCCCCGCAGGGGTCTCTGTTCCCATCCCTGTGGGGGTCCCTCTCCCCCTGGGGATCCCTGTTCTCCTCCCCGGGGTGGTCCCTTTTCCCATCCCCGCGGGGGTCCCTCTCCCCCTGAGGGTCCCTCTCCCCGTGGGGGTCCCCGTTCCCATCCCCACGAGGGTCCCTCTCCCTCTGAGGGTCCCTCTCCCCGTGGGGGTCCCTGTTCCCATCCCCACGAGGGTCCCTCTCCCCCTGGGGGTCCCTGTTCTCCTCCCCCCGGGGTTCCCTGCGGGCGGGTGCCCTGCAGCGGCGGCGCAGCCGTCGGTGGGTGCTCAGGTTGGCCTGCGAGGCGAAGGCGCGGCCGCAGCGGGCGCAGGCGAAGGGCCGGTGCCCGGAGTGTGCCCGGCGGTGCAGCCGCAGGTGCCCGCGGCTGCGGAAGGCGCGGCCGCACTCGGGGCAGGGGTGGGCGCGCTCGGGGGGCGGGTGGGCCCGCACGTGCAGCTCCAGGCTCTCCCTCCAGGCGAAGCCGCGCCCGCAGCGCCCGCACACGAAGGGCCGCTCCTCGCCCGGCCCCGCGCGGTGCCCGCACGGCCCCGCCGCGCCCGCGGGGCGCTGCTGGCACTGGGGGCACTGGGGGCACTGGGGGCAGCGGGGCCGCCCCCGGTCCGAGCCGCGGTGCCGCAGCAGGTCCCCGCGCAGGCAGAAGGCGCGGCCGCAGTCGGGGCAGCCGTGCCGGGCGCGGTTCCCCCCGCGCAGCCGCTTGTGCGTGAGGAGGTTGCGGCGGTGCCGGAAGGCTTTGCCGCAGGTCCCGCACACGAACGGCGGGCCCGGGGCGGGGGGGTGCTCGGCCCGGGGAGCCCCCGGCTCGGCCCCGCAGCTCAGCCCCAGCCCCTCACACGGGGGCGGCCCCGGCTCCCCCCGAGGGGGGTCCCCGGCACAGCCCCCCAAGGTGGTGTCGCTCCAGCCGGAGCGGGGGGCACTGAACCCCAAGTCCCAGAGTCCCCCGCCATCATCCTCGCTGGCAGAGCCGTCCTGGGCACCTGTTGGGAAAAGGGTGTCAGCACAGGGGGTCCCAGACCCACCGCCGGCCCCTCACCCACCCGGGGGGGCTGGGAGGGACTCCCACCCGGTCCGGGGGAGTGTCAGACGGGGGGTCTGGCTCCAGCCAGCCCCTCAGGGCACAGTGACACCTCAGGGTGGCCCCACGGGATGTCCCCAGTCACTCACCGGTGCTGGAGACGTCAGAAGCTCTGCTGTCCCCCCCAGCACAGGGCGACTCCTCCTTCATGTCGCTGAACTTGGACGTGGAGCCTGTGCAGGGAAGAGACCCCTCAGTGCCCCCCAAAATGCCCGGTGAGTGTCACTGGGGGACTGGTACCGCCACCAGGCCACAGCACTGGGAGCTGTGGGGGCTGCACTGGGAGCTGTGGGGGCTGTGGGGCCGGGCACAGGGGATGGGGGGCTGTGGGGCAGCAGGGCCGGGGTATCTGGTGCCTTTATTCCTCACACCCACAGATGCACTTGCTGCCCTGCCCTGCACCGAGAGATGGCAGGTCGGGCTCTGCCAGGGGGCTTGGGCTGCAGACCCCTGGCTCAGCCCCCAGATCCCTGACCAAGCCCCCAGACCCCAGCTGAGCCTCTGAACCCCTGGCTGAGCTCCTGGGCCCCCCACTCAGCCTCCAGACCCCCAGCCAAGCCCTGGACCCCTGGCTGAGGCTGTGGACCCCCGGCTCAGCCTCCGGCCATGCCCCCAGCCTGGTGACACCCCCATCTCTGTGCCCCCAGCCCTGTGACACCCCCAGCCCGGTGCTCCCCCGGCCCCTCACCCAGACTGGCCACCAGGTCGTAGTTGTCAGCCATGACCTCTCGGTACAGCGCCCGCTGCCAGGGCAGGAGCTCTGCCCACTCCTCGGGGGAGAAGTAAATGGCCACCTCTTCGAACGACACGTCGGGGGGCACCCCCTGGAGGGACAGCGGGGGGCTCAGGGGAGCCGGCAGCACCGACCCCTCGCTGGGCACCCCTTGCGGGTCACCCCAGGACTGCGGTACCTCCCGGGCCCCAAAGGGTCCTGTCCCGGGGCTGCTCCGGCCCCCGCAGTCAGCACAGGGGGCCTGGGGGGACTGCCAGGGCTGTGGGGAGCCCCGGGAGGAGTGGGGACCCCCGGGGCTCTGGGGCTCCCTGGGGCTGCGGGGACTCATGAGAAGAGCAGGGACCCCCAAGGCTGGGGGGCTCCCCGGGGCGAGAGGAGTGGGGTCCCCTGGGGCTGTGGGGACCCCCCGGAGGAGCAGGGACCTCAGGGGCTGCGGGGACCCTACTGATGAGTGGGGTCCCCTGGGGCTGTGGGGACTCCCGGGAGGAGCCGTGGGGACCCCCTGAGCCGTGGGGAGCCCCGGGTGCCGCCCCCCGGTCCCTGTGAGCCCGCCTTCCCCCTTCCCGGTAACCGCGCCCGGAGGCGCCGGGACCGCCCCGTCCTGTCCGCCCCCCCCGCCCCCTCCGCGGGGACCCCCGGAGCCCCCCCATCCCCGGACCGGCCCCTCCGCCGGGACAGCGGGGCCGCCGCACCCCCGGGGCCCCCCTGAGCCCTCCCGACGCTTCCCCGGGCCCCCCCCTTGCTCACCGTCTGCATCTCCGGGCGGGGCCCGATGGCGGCGGCGGAAGGGGCCGGACGGGGGGCGGCACCGGGACACGGGGGGCACCGGGAGGGGATGTGGGGTACCGTAGACCCACCCCCCGCACCCACGGGCCGGGGGATCCCCGCGTTTTTTTGGGGGGGGCTCTGCCCGGGCGATGGCGGCCGCGATCGCCCACCCCGGCAGCATCGGCCACCCCCCGAGCGGGGCTGCTCGGGGACACCCCCCATGCTCTCCAAGACCACCTTTCACCCCCCCAAATCCCGAGAAACCAGCCCGGCTACTCCGGGCGTCCGAGAGCCCCCACACCGGAGGGTCCCACACCGGAGGGTCCCACACCGGGGCAGGAACAACCAAAGCCACCCTGGGTCCTGCCCCTGCAGCCCGCGTGCCCAATCCTCCCAGAACCCACCCGGGGTGACACCAGGTGCCCTCAGCCGGGACAGGGGGTGTCCGTGTCCCAGTGCGTCCCCTTAGTGAGAGCCCTCGGTGTGAGACCCCCAGTCTGCCTCCAGGAGCACGGGGGGGTTCAGTGCCACCCCAGTGGACGTGAGGGTGACCCCGGGGTGGGCTTGGTGGCCACGCTGGTCCTGAGCTCCCACCTGGTGTCCAGGGGAGGTTTGGTGGCCGCAGGGCGCGCTGGAGGGTCCCGGCACTGTCACTGTCCCGGCGGCCCCTTGGTCACGGTGATGGCCCGGGGGCTGCAGCTGGCACAGCCTTTGCCGGGATTCAGGCTGGGATTGAGGCTCCAGGGAGACCCCCGTGCCCCCCCATTCCCGGACAGAGCACCCGGAGCTGCTGGAGCCATCAGAAGCTTTTATTTTAAATAACCTCAAAAAATAGAATTGCAGAGAGCAGAGCTGGGGAAGAAGAGGGCTGGGGCGGGACCCCCCGCCCGGCTGGGGCTCCAGTGGTGGCTGCCCCGCGTTGGTCCCCTCAGAAGATCCTATTCCCTTTGGGATGAAGCAATGGCAGATCCCGGTGCCCGTGGCCAGAGCTCTGCCCGAGGCTGCAGCCCCCTGGCCACTGGCTCTGTCACACCAGGGGGGACACAGAGATGCCAAGCAAAGCCCAACAAGCATCCCATGCCCCCCACGCCCCTGGAAGCCCCCCCAGCCCCCACCAATATCAAGTCCCAAAGCACAGTTATCCAGAGCAAGCAGAAGCACAAGCTGCCCCCCCCGCCCCCCCGGACCAGAGGCATCTCCAGGTCCCTTCTGGAAGCAGAGCTGACCCTTTCCAAGCCATTTTCCTGGCTGTTTTCCCAGTGCTCTCCCAGCTCCTCTATATGGAGCTGGACTGGGGATCCCAGGTCATCCAACAGGAGAAAGGGCCTCAAGACTCCTGCAGTGGCAGGGCTTGGCTCTTCCGTCCCAACCATGTCCTTGTGGAATGCCATCCAGTCTGGAACAGCCTGGAAGGTTCTGGAAGCAGTTGGAGCCCTCTCGCCCCTGTGGCTGCCTCCAGAGGATGCAACTTTTAAGCCACTGGATCCAGCTCTTCCCAGTCTATGTGGCCGGAGCCAATGTGGCAGATCCAGGTCCAGTGGCACCCCCTCCAGTCCTTTGGTGTCTTCCCGAGCCAGAAATGGGCCGTGTCCCAGTCTGGCTCTGTTTTGCCCCATCCAATCCCCACCAGGCTCCTCCAAGTCCCAGTGTCATGTCCAGCCAGAGGCGTCACCCTGGCTCTGACCCCTCAGCTCTGACCCCTCGGCTCCGTCCTCGTCAGGGTCCGCTGTGGGTGAGTGTGGGAGCTGAGGGCCGGCCCTTGCCCGTGGGGGTCCTGGTGGGGGTCCCAGTGCAGGGGGGTCCCAGGCAGCCAGGGCAGGTCCTAGTGCGGGGGCAGGGGTGGGGGTCCTGGCAGGGGCCCCAGCGTGCGTCCTGGAGCACATCCCCACGAGGGTCCCGGGGGGGTTACAGACAGCCGGGACACGGGGCCGGTTTTTCCTCGATGTGCTCCTGCTCCGGCGCTCCCGGCGTTCCCGGCATTCCCGGCACGCGCTTCTCCTCGAAGGCCCGCGCGCAGCCCCCGGCCTTGGCCCAGAGCTGCCCCCGGGGGGGCTCGGGGGGGCGGGGGGCCAGGCAGGCGGCACAGCAGCACGGGGGGGGCAGCCCCGGCGCCCTGGGGCCCGGACCCTCCCCCGGGCACTTGCACGGGGGCACCGGGGGGGCTCCGGGGCCCGGGGGGTGCTCGTCCTGCATGAGCTGCAGGAGGATGTCGGCGGCGCCCGAGGGGCTGTCGGGCCGGGCCGGGGGGGCCCCGCGGGAGCAGGGGGGCAGCAGCAGGGCCGGGGGCTCCGGGCCCTTGCCCAGGGGGTCCCCGGCGGAGCAGGCGGGCGCGAGGCCGGCGCCGTGGGTGCGGCGGTGCCGCAGCAGATGGGCCTTCTGGCTGAAGCCCTTGCCGCAGTCGGCGCAGCGGAACGGGCGCTCCCCCGTGTGCGTGCGCAGGTGCACGGCCAGGTTCACCTTCTGCCGGAACCGCTTCCCGCACTCGGCGCACGTGTGCGGCCGCTCGGCGCAGCCGTGGGGGCACTCGGGGCACGGCTGGGGCTGCTCGGCGCAGGGCAGCGGCTGCTCGCAGGGGTGGGGCTGCTCGGCACAGGCGTGGGGGTGCTCGGCGCAGCCGTGGGGCTGCTTGGTGCAGGCGTGGGGCCGCTCGGCACAGGCGCGGGGACACCCGGCGCAGGGGTGCAGCTGCTCGGCGCAGCTGTGGGGCCGCTCGCAGGCGTGGGGCTGCTCGGCGCAGACGTGGGGCCGCTCGCAGGCGTGGGGCCGCTCGCAGGCGTGGGGCTGCTCGCCGCAGGGCCGGGGCTGCTCGAGGCAGGGGTGCAGCCGCTTGGCGCAGGGGCACTTGGCGCAGGCGTGCAGCTGCTCGGCACAGGCGCGGTGCTGCTCCGTGCAGGGGTGGTGGTGGTGCTCGGCGCAGGGGCGGCGCTGCTCGGGGCAGGAGTGGGGCCGCCCGCGCGGGTTCACGGGCGGCCCCCCGTGCTCGCCGCAGGCCTCCCCGCAGGGCCCGCAGGGGAAGGGGGCCCCGGCGGGGTCCGCGGCGCCGGGGGCCGTGCCGGGGGGCCCCGCGTGCACCCGCTGGTGCACCCGCAGGGACAGTTTGCTCTTGAAGCGCTTGGGGCACTCGAGGCAGGTGAAGGGCTGGCGGCCCAGGTGGGTCTTCTGGTGGGCCAGCAGGTTGGGCTTCTGCGCGAAGCGCTTCCCGCACTGGGCGCAGGCGAAGGGCCGCTCGCCCGTGTGCACCCGGTAGTGCGTCACCAGGTTGCCCTTCTGGTTGAAGCGGCGGCCGCAGACGCCGCAGGTGAAGGGCCGCTCACCTGTGTGGATGCGCTGGTGTGTGGCCAGGTTGGTTTTGAGGCTGAAGCGCTTCCCGCAGGTGTCGCAGCGGAAGGGGCCGCGCCCGCCGGCGCCGTGCCCGTGCCGCAGCAGCCGCTCGCACTGCGCCAGGCTGCGCCCGCACTCGGGGCACGGCCAGGGCCGGGCCTCGCCCGCCCGCGCCGGGGGGGACCCGGGGGGCAGCTCCGCGCCGGGAGCGGGCTCGGGGGGGGCCCCGGGGCACGGCTTGTGCCCCGCGTGGCTCTTCTGGTGGGCGACGAGGGCGAGCCAGAGCCCGAAGCTGTTCCCGCACTGGTTGCAGATGAAGGGCTTCTCGGGGGGGGCCGCGGCATCCCCCAGCCCCGGCTGCGCCCCCGGGGGCCCCAGGAGGGGGGGGCCGGGGGAGAAGTTTGGGGGCGCCTCGGGGGGCCGCAGCAGGGGCACCTTGGGGCAGAAGCCGTCGCCGCAGTGGGCGCAGGGGAAGGGGGGCTCGCCCGGGGGCTGGGGGGGGAAGCCCTTCTCCTCGCAGGGGAACAGCTCGGCGCCCTCGGGGGGCTTCGGGGCGGGCGGGAGCGGGGCGAAGGGGGGGTCCTGCGGGGCGGGCGCGGGGGGCAGCAGGGCGGGCGCGGCCCCGAAGGGCGCGGCGGGGGCCGGGCCGCGCGCCAGGCAGCGGCGCTGGCGGGGGACGTGCGTCTTCTGGTGGGCCTTGAGGGACACCTTGTCCTTGAAGCACTTGTGGCACTGGGCGCAGGGGAAGGGGCGCAGGTCGGTGTGGGTGCTCTGGTGCGTGACCAGGTTGGTTTTCTGGGTGAAGCGCTTCCCGCACTGGGCGCAGGCGAAGGGCCGCTCACCTGTGTGCACCCGGTAGTGCGTCACCAGGTTGGTTTTCTGGTTGAAGCTGCGGCCGCACAGGAAGCAGGAGAAGGGCCGCTCGCCCGTGTGGATGCGCCGGTGCGTGATCAGGTTGGGCTTCTGCCGGAAGCTCTTCCCGCACTCGGGGCACACGAAGGGCGTGTCCTCGGCGCAGCCCCGCGCCGGCCGCGCCCGCGCCTTGCCCTCCTCGGGGTGGGCGCCGTGGATGCGCTGGTGGGCCAGCAGGTTGGCCTTCTGCGAGAAGCTCTTGCCGCACTGGGCGCAGGGGAAGGGCCGCTCGCCCGTGTGCACCCGCCGGTGCGTGAGCAGGTTGGGCCGCTGGCTGAAGCTCTTCCCGCAGTCCCCGCAGCGGAACGGCTTCTCCCCGGTGTGGATCCGCTCGTGCGTCACCAGGCTCTGCTTCTGCCGGAAGCCCTTCCCGCACTGGCCGCAGCGGAAGGGGCCGGGGACGCCCCCCTGGGCCCCCCAGCAGCCGGCGCGGGGGGCCGGGGGGTCCCGGGGGGGCTCGGGGCCGCGCTGCCCGCCGGGGAACCAGCGGCCGGAGCTGCTGCCGGCGGCCGGGAACAGCTCCAGGGAGCCGGCGCCGATCCCGGGCTTCTCCTCGGGCTCCACCTTGCTCACCCGCCCGGGCTCCACTGCACCGGAGACATCCCGGAGTCAGCCCGGCCCTCGGGGAATTCCGGGCTGTCCCGAGTGGGAAGGCCCTGGATCCAGCCCCACCCGCTCCACGTGGGACCCCCAACATGGAATCACCGTGGTCTGTGGCCCCCCAAACAGCCTCTGAACCCCCCCGAAGCTCCCAGTTTGTGACACCTCGAAGTGCCCCCAAATTCCCCCCAAAAACCCACTGCACTCCCCAGTTTGTGACACCCCCCCCAACCTCCTGCACCCCTCGGCCTCGCCCGCAGTGGTGCTGGTTGGTGCCAGGAAAAAAATGCCAGTACCTGGCCCAGACTGGTCAAAACTGACCCGAAATTACCATAAACTGGCCAGAACCCAGTTCGGAATGGCCCAGAATGGGAGCAAACTGCCCCAGGATGACAAAAACTGGCCCAAAACTGCCCAAACCAGCCCAGAATGGCCAAAACTGGTTGAGAATGGACATAAACTGGTCCAAAACGGCAAAAACTGGTCCACAAAACTGGCCACAAATTGGTCAGAAATGGCTGCAAACGGGCCCAGAATGGCCACAAAATGGCTCCAAAATGGCTGAAAACTGGCCCAAAATGGACATAAACCAGCCCCACGCTGGCTCCAAACTGACTCAGAACAGTCCTAAACTGCCTTACACTGGCTCAGAACGGCCCCCACTGACCCCAAAACGTCTCTGAAGGTCCCAACTGTCCTCAGACGGTCCCAGCCCGTCCTTTTCCCGGAGCCCCCAATCCCAGCGCTCCCCCATTCCCGAGGATCCGGACTCACCGGCGCAGGGGCTGCCCAGGGCCTTGGAGTCCTCCGGGCCCGTCCGCGCGGCTCCGAACGGCTCCTCCGGCGGCTTCATCCCAAACAAACCCAC